CCGCCTTTTGTTGGGTACTTCGACAAAATTTAAGCAAAGAGGACTCTTTATACTTTTTTAATTCTCTCTAGCTTTCAATGGACTTTGCCATCATCATCAGGAGCTGCAATTACAATGATAACAGTAGCAACAATAGTGTAAAATGAATTTAAATTGACTCAACTTACAGTAGTATGTGAGGATGTTGCTAGTGCAGTTTACGTATAGGATGAGGGAAACGTCCAGTAACATGGTGAGAGCTGGATAGATGGTACAATGGTCAAAATTATATAAAATATGACAAGAACAAGTTAAAAACAGATTAAAAATTATTTAAAAACGTTAAAGCATTACATCGTGAAGCCACTTGATGATTGCACAAAATGGTGGTCATGGAATAATGAGTGAGATGAACCCTTTGACAGAAGGCCGAAGGTTGTCAATGTCTGTGTAGAAAGATGGAACGAATTGTGGGCGTGTGCCAACGTTGCCAAATCACTTCAGATGATGTGATTTTCAGAATGTTATGTAAGAAATTGTTAAACCGACCAGAGGCAGTTGAATAAACTATATTTTAATTAATGGGAATTCAAATTAACAATTATTATTAAATCGTGAGAAGAGAATTATTAGATTTTGAGTGGAATGAAATTTACTGGTGGAATCGACCAAGATACAGATTCTATTTATGGTTGTGAGGAGTCAAAATTTGGGGAGATATGTAAAAATAGAATCTGTATCTTGGTCGATTCCACCAGTAAATTTCATTCCACTCAAAATCTAATAATTATCTTCTCACGATTTAATAATAATTGTTAATTTAATTTCCCACTAATTAAAATATAGTTTATTCAACTGCCTCTGGTCGGTTTAACAATTTCTTACATAACATTCTGAAAATCACATCATCTGAAGTGATTTGGCAACGTTGGCACACGCCCACAATTCGTTCCATCTTTCTACACAGACATTGACAACCTTCGGCCTTCTGTCAAAGGGTTCATCTCACTCATTATTCCATGACCACCATTTTGTGCAATCATCAAGTGGCTTCACGATGTATGCTTTAATGTTTTTAAATAATTTTTAATCAGTTTTTAACTTGTTCTTGTCATATTTTATATAATTTTGACCATTGTACCATCTATCCAGCTCTCACCATGTTACTGGACGTTTCCCTCATCCTATCCGTAAACAACAATTAGCAACATCCTCACATACTACTGTAAGTTGAGTCAATTTAAATTCATTTTACACTATTGTTGCTACTGTTATCATTGTAATTGCAGCTCCTGATGATGATGGCAAAGTCCATTGAAAGCTAGAGAGAATTAAAAAAGTATAAAGAGTCCTCTTTGCTTAAATTTTGTCGAAGTACCCAACAAAAGGCGGAAGCTTTAATTTTTCACCTAACTGGTCTAGACGACAATGACCACGTCTCAAAATACTCGTATATATATATATAGATATTACCTAACTTAAGAAGACGAGTTGTCGGTTCATTTGAACCATAATTTGCTTGATGAAAGGGGGCAAAGAAAGTATATGTATGTCAAATTCTCCTATCAGTCACAATAACAGTTGAGGACAGTCAATATGACAATTGATAAATTTGTGTAGGAAAAGTAAGTCAAATTCCAACCTGCGTCGCTCAAGAGAAATCATATTCATGTAGAGAAGAGTATCAGTATAAATATACTCCTCCCCAATGAAACCTATTTTATATCCATAGATTCTCAAAAAAATGTCTGCACACGCTTTAATTAGTTGATCTGCAAGTTATAACCAGACAGAGCAACAATGCTCAAGTAACGAACGAACCAAAGAATAATACAAAATTTTAAAAGAAAAAAGTGACAGCTCAACACAATGGCGATTTATAAGACATTTCATCTTATATGCAAAAATGGTGGTTTTTTCAATATGAATGTTAAAATAACTCCCAAGTCCTTGACCTTGTCTGTAGCTTGATGCTATAAGAATAAGTAATAGGAGAACGAGATTGACAAAATGTAATTTTGTAAGATTTCGCATCATTTAAAAGTAAAACATTCACCCCACACCAACGAGAAATATGGTCTAAGTTTCTTTGCATTCAGCATCATGCCCGTTCCCAAAAAGATCATTAATAAATATATTAAATAACAACGGACCCAAACGGGAGCCTTGAGAGACTCCAGAATTTATACGAATACGACGAGCTGTAGACCAATCATATCTTATCATCTGAGATCTATCAGATAAGTAACTACTTATCCAGTTCAAGAGTTGACCCTGCACACCATAGCTGTAAAGGTTGGACAATAGTATCGAATCGTTAACCCGATCGAACGCCTTAGGCCCGTATCGTCAGTCGTCCCTACAATTATAGGGCGCGTTTATGGCCTCCTTGATTATCATAGTTTTCTACTTCTCCGTGTCAGAGCTCTATTTTGAGGTTATGTCACAAACATCTATTTGCATCAAATTGTGCTTGCTTTTGAGTTATATCATGTTTTATCAGCCTGAAATTTCCCACAATTTAAAAGGTAAACATATCTTAACAATAGGAGAGTGCTGACGCTAACACGGGACGAGTGTAATCTAGAAATTTTTTAAGGAGAGAAAACAGTATGACAATCAAGGAGGCCATAAACGCACCCTACAATTGTGGGGACGACTGACGATACGGGCCTTAGAGAAGTTCAAATAAACCATGTCTACCTGCTGGCCTTGCTCAATTGAGTTGCACAAATAGTTACTGTATAACATCAAGTTGATACAACTTGACACCCTGGCGAAAACACAACTCATGGTAAAATGGCCTTAGACCTGGAGTCTGATTCTAAATGAGTTTTGACCGTTGAAAATAATTTATCATAGCGAATCAAGTATTCTGTTGTAATTGTTGTCAACACGCCATCGAAAGCAATTCCAAAGGTCGAAACTCATTCAGCACCAGGCCTTTGGGGTAATGTCTTCCTGTCCACTCCGAAGACATTAGCCAAATGTCATGTCCATCAACCAACTGTCAACTACGTCTCACGGCTGTCTCAAAATGACGTCGTTGGATCGGACAAAGTGTCGTTACGAAAACGTCATTTTCACGACATATGTCAAATCGTCAACGTCGAAAAACAATCTTAGGGCCGATTTCACCAACATTGATATTATGGACCAATGGGAAAATACCTTATCGAAATGCAATTTGACAGAAGCTGTCAAAGGTCTCTAAATATTAGTGATTTCTATTGAAGTATTGAACAAAATCGTGAAACTTCGACTGTATTATAAACAAGACTACTTTTTGATTCCAACATGATGCTTTTGTACAGAAGAAACAGGACAACTTTCATGTATTTTGATATATGCTATAGGTTTACATTTAACAATCCGTTATCCCCTTCAGCGATTTTATTTGCCGGTTTTGAATTTTTTTCGTGAAAATTTACTAGGTATCATGATTATAAGCATCTTCGGTAGATTGTTCGATCCGGAATGGGAAAGATCTCCTATTTATGAAAATATTTTTGGTATCATCTTACCGTTGCAATCAATGCACAAACACTGTGACATATGATTTATAGCATAACCCGCTGCCCTATCAATACAAATTTAACATACAGATCGCCTAGCCGTGGGGATGCAGTGGTCGGGATGAATATCATGGCAGCAACTGATGATTTGGGCACATCTGGTAACAACGTATGAAATGAAACTCACTAACTTCACAAATTTTACGATTTTGTAGGTACAATTTCTTTGAAAATGATGAATGATATGTCTGATTTGGCAGGGTAATGTCGCAGCCAAATGGCAGTCACTCTTTCTGACACAGTGCGGATCGAAAGATGATACTCGTGAAATGTATTGATACTTCTAAATATAGGATCATATCGAACATCCCTACTGTCAAGATGTATAACCCAAGGTACCGACGGAGCTATTTTGCGGCGTCATGGAAATAATTTTAAATTTTCATTTGCATTTTTTCTTGTGCAATGGTGTTGGGAAAAATGTCACGAATAGTCTTATAAAGCATAGTAGAGTATATTTCAACAGTTGGCGGAACTTACTCCACTGGGACCAGGAGGGTGAAACGGGATATTAATGCACAATCTGGAAACCCTGTCGCACCCTCACAAAATGGCCGCTGACAACCACACAAGTCACCGTGTTGTCATTGAATAGCATGGAATTAAACCATCAGAATATATGTTTTGTGAATGGTACCAAGAGTTGACACATCCCACACATGAGTCACTCCTTGAAATGCAATAATCAGCTGTATTCAAATAATGACTAATATAAATATAACCTAGAATGTGTACTCGTGAAAAAAGAAAAATATGGTAAATTTGTAGTTTTTTTGCAGGTTTTAGGTTTGCTGCTAGCTTTACGGCATATATTTGGGAATTTCTTAATCGCTGTGAATATAGTGTGGATGTTTGTTCAGTTCCTGAAGCACGAAAAATATTCAACTTTATGAATGTAGGGATATCAAAAAACTTGAATCGTTTTGTGGGAATATCAATCTAAGGTGCCTTAATGGTTCTGATGAACGGCAAGTAAATGAATGAATGTTTGGAAACGAGCAATATCTTTTGGTAGAGCCTGTCATCAAGTAGGTGCTTAATGGCTATCTGCAAGAGGTTTATAGGAAAAAACACCCAGCATCGTATATGAATTGAAGAAAGTAATATAAACATGAATAAAAAATCAACAATAGTAATTAAAACCTGAATTTTATTCAAAAATCCAACATTTCTTTAAACTGTTGTTGATGAAATTGACCCTTAGTGTATCGTCATTATGACGCACCCTCGCTACTAGGGCAACAATCATTCAGCAAGACATCAAGGTCTTTCAAATGTCAATTTCCTAGGAAGACCTCATATATATTAAGCTGTCTCCCTAACAGTCTATCTGCCTATCGGTTTGTCTATCTATCCGTCTGTTGGCTTGCCTATCCATCGGTCTGTTGATCTATCTGCCCGCTACTACAGCTTCCAAATTAAATTTCACTAACTTTTTTATTTTAGTGGCACTTTGCAATCCGTTAATTCAGCACGGTCGCCCCAAATCCTCCAAAAGGACACTAGAATTATCTTCCAGCCTGATTACGGACCAAGCAAAGCCGAAATAAGTGATTATCTGGTTGCCGACAACTTATCGGCTAAGCATTTTTAAAGCTCTGCCGGTGGAGATGCGTCCCTAATGCCAAGGAGTTGTCGACCGCACCCGAGTGGATTCGCATGTAATTGCCAAATGCGAATACAGTGTTGCAGCCAAGATCTGCAATTGGATTATGCTCACTGCTACGCTCCGATAGACTACGCTCTGTTAACTTTGTTTTGCCATCGACGACTCAGCCTCGGATTACTCCGATGCGATGCAAAGCCCCATGCAGATAAATATTTAAATAGTGTCTAAAAGTTGAAAACGGTAGCCTGGAAAATTCGGTGAAAGAGAAGATGAGAAACAACGTCACAAGGATAGTATAGATGAAAAGTCCATTGTCCCCGTGCATGGTTGTTTATAAAGGGTGTCCCAAAATTTAACGCAAGTTTTAAATGAAATAGAAGACACGGTTTTAACTCTTCTGTCGAAATTTTTTTAGACCTTTCTGCATAATGGTGGCTGCATTTTGTTGATGCGTCGTTTACTTTCCTCTTGTAATGCACGGCTAGTTGTGGACTTGTTGATATAGTCCTTTGACTTTAAATGACCCCATAGGAAAAAATCTAGTGGTGTTAACTCAGACGATCTAGGGGTCCAATTCTGCTCATTGAAACGGGAAAGTACAGGAAATCTCTCATGCTGTTATTGAATTGTTTCACTGGATGTATTTTTTATATATATATATATATATATCGAAGCAGCCGCGCAGGCAGAAGCCTAAATGCCGGAACACCGCGGCTGCTATAATGATCCCAAAGAAACTTTGCTAATACGATTTTTGAACTGCCTAATGTTAGTAGAACTTTGAAAAGCTTCCTCTTGTAGATTGTTCCACTATCTCGATACCCTCGGGACAAAGGAGCGGTCGTATCGGCCAATTCTGGATGTACGAAGTTCGACACGGTTAGGATGAGACCCCAAAGTCAGGCGGGTCTATCTGGCAGGCACATCGCGCGGCGGCATCATGGAAGAGAGCTCCGAGGAGCAAAGCCCGTTGGTGTAGCGATAGAAAAGAGCTAGATCACCGACGGCCCGCCGCCCGCCGCCGGTGCGAAAGAGTACCGAGACTGTCTGTTAGAGAAGAGTCGTCGATCAGTCGGACCGCCCTTCTCTGGACAGCATCGAACATGGGGATAATATAGTCGGGGCGGCAGCACCCCAAACGTGTGAGCAATACTCGAGGCTAGGCCTTATTTGGGCCTTGTATAGTGTGAGAAGGTCATGCGGAGAAAAGTACCTCTTAGCCCTAAACAAATAGCCTAGCTTGTTCCCAACAGCTGTAGCTATTGACGAGATGTGTTCGTGCCAGATCAGGTCCTCGGTGATCTGGACTCCGACCAACCGAAATGAATGGGTGTGAACTGTACAAGATTGTTGTGTCCCCAAGCAGTGGTAGCCTCCAGGTCTCTTGTCAGAGAGTAAGTCGTCGCTAGTCTTCTTTTTTCCAGCTCAGCGGCAGAGATCGGCTTGTCGCTCTGAATTCCTGCATATAGAGTGCTGTCATCAGCGAAGCTGTGGATTGGGTTGATCGTGCAGGAAAGGAGGTCGTTGATATGTAAGAGAAACAGTGTAGGAGCCAAGACCGATCCCTGGAGAACACCCGCGTTGACGTTGTAGGATGAAGACGAGAACCTGTCAATTACGACGGATATCTTGCAGCCAGAGATAAAGTCAGCCACCCATCTGCAAAGCTTTTCTGGGAGGCCATAGGATGGAGGTTTGCTTAAGAGGGCAGCGTGCCACAGCTGATCGAACGCTTTCGTGATGTCAAGAGCAACGACATGAGCCTCACCACAAGACTGGATGAGTTCACTCCACAATTGCGTGACGTAAGCTAGGAGGTCCCCTGTGGATCTTAGGTGCCGGAAACCATACTTCCTGTCGCTAATCAAACTGTGACGTTCCAGGTAGTTCAGAAGCTCGCGATTTATGCACCTCTCCATCACCTTACTTATAACAGAAAGCAGAGCTGTAGGCCTGTAGTTGTAAGGGTCGGTCTTAGATCCTTTTTTGGGATGGGCTGTACATGAGCAAATTTCCAGTTTTCTGGGAAGGTGCCGGACTCATAAGATATCTGGAAGAGACGCGAAAGAACTGGAGCAAGCTCCGCTGCACATCTCTTCAGTACAATGGCAGGAATCAAGTCCGGACCAGAAGCTTTGTTGATGTCGAGCGACAAGAGCACTCGTCTTACGGTCTTATGCCTGAATGTTACCTCCCGCATAGTGTAGGGAACCCTTTGAATTGACGGCACTTGGGCGTTGGTGGGGACGTCCATGGTGGAGTTGGCAGCAAAGATCTTGGCTAGCACTTCCGCCTTAGCCTTTGAGTCGAATACCATAGTTCCATCCTGACACGTAAGTGGTGGAAGGCTACTGTGTGAGAAGTTCTTTTCAATCTACTTGGCCAGCGTCCAGAAAGACCGACTGCCATTGCGCTGCGACATTGCCCTGTGCCTAACTTCTATATCGTGCTGGTTTTTGGCATTGCGAACTGCTTCGTTATATTTGTTTCTGTACTCGACGTTGGCTTGTATGGCATGTGGCACCGTCTTGCTGAAACCACATAGGTATTGGACACATCCATAGTATCCAATTTAAGTAGAAAAAACTCGATAACGGGCACCAATAACAGTTACTACTTCACCAGCCTCATTTAAAAAAAAAGTATTATCCAATGGCTCAAAATCCGCACCAAACAGTGACACGTTATTTATTTTTCGACAATCACACGTGGGTTCTCCGAACTCCAAATATGGCAATTTTGGCGATTAAGTTGAAATTTAACGTGCTTCATCGCTTAAGATGATTTTGCTGGAAAAATCAGCATCCACTTATTGATGTTCAATAATCCATTCCACGAAATATCTTCGCTGCTCATGGTCATCAGGCTTCAGTTGTTGTGTTGATTTAATTTTGAAAGCATGGAGACACAGATCTATTGTGATTATACGCTGTAGAGAGCTAAAATGAATTTAGATTTCTCTACTTTTACATATGTAAACGCACCGGTCTACCTAGCTTCTCATTATGTCCATGTCTTCAGTGTATATCAATCAATGTATTCGACTTCATTTTTTCGTTCGTTCCATTTTCAATAAATTGGAATGTGTATCCGCTTACTATGTAGCATGTCCAGAGATACCTATTTGTCCCATAGAATATTAAGCTTTGGACTCCGGAAAGTAAGGTGGCCTTAACTTGTGCACAGCTCATAGAAGTTACTCGTTGGAGTAGCTGTGTTAATTAAGAACTTTTGGGAACTTCTACTTCGGTATAATAAACTTCGATAACGGATATGTCTCCAAAAAGAATATTCAATTACATTTATCGATCAAGAAAGGCGCGAAAGAGCTTCAAAGACAACGCGAATGGCGAACACCTTAATGAGGGAAGTTCGGTTTAATCAGTATTTATGGTCCAGACGTGATCCTCATTGACTTGCAATCTTCATCTTCTTTAAAATTTACAGGCGCGGGGGCCTGGACGAGGTTTATACAGAGAGTACTTCGTACAAGTTACCTTATCAACAGTAGCACTTTTTTACTGTTTCTACCTGGCTACCACAGGAAGAGCGTTATGATTTTCGCACCTGAGTATGTGTGTGTGGACAAAAAAATCTATTTCACGGGCTACAGTCCAAAGGGATTGCTGGATTTTGCCATATGAGGTTTCTCTAGATTTGACTTGACTGTGCAAGTGACGATAGGTATACTGACATTTCATGAAATGAAAATAGCGGACATTGATCGAACATGTCAACTTTGACGTTTGATTAATGGGAATGACACTTGGTATGCAAATATTTAATAAAATCAAAATGGCGGACTTTGAAAATTTAAACTTACATTTTCAGCGGCTTACTGAATTGTGACATAAGAGGTGTCTCTAGATTTGTCAGTGCATGTGACAATAGACCTACTAATAATTGATAAAATCAAAACAGTAAATTTTGATCGAAAGTTTCAACTTTGAAGTTTTTATTCAGCAGTATACACCTTAAACGACCCGATGGATTTTTACATTCGATATTCTACAAGAAGATTGGTTGGTATTTTTTCCACAGTGTACATTTCACCTAGCAATAAGTTTTAGTAGTAGTAACACATTCACTGAGAACCATACCGGTCTGGCGGCTTGAGAGAATGTTTACGAGAGATAAGTGTGTATAGACACATAGGTATGTTAGAAGAAGATACAAGCCGGCTAGCAACGTTGACGCAGCAATCTGCCGCGTTTCTAATGTGCTACACCTTGAATTGAAATGCATATTCAAAACTTAGTTTACTCTTTACGCCCACATTATGCCTTAATTTTGAGCGTACACATTTTTGAATTGTGAATTATGATTCCCGATCCGTCCTATTTGTTAGATTTTCAGACCGCTCGCTATCGCAAAATGTAACAATAACTCAGGATGTGTTGCTTTCATCACCATTGATGGAAATCAAAAATAATCCTAAAATAAATTAAAACATTAAGTAGCATCAAAATTGAAATGAATAATTCGAATCAAAATGAAAACAAAATATTAAATTAAATGTTCGAACAAACATCCTTTTTGGGTTTGACAGTATCCTCACCTATTGTAAGAGCTTATGCGAACATTTTCTGGGGTAACATATTAGCAGCGCGGCAGATTGCACGACCTTGTGCGTCACCGTTGCTAGGCAATGTGGTGCTGACGTTCGCCCTTCTGCCGGCTTCTATCGATTTTTAGCATGTGTTAATACACACTTCTCGCGTTTCTCTCTCGTACACATTGAACTCAGGCCGACAGACAAATTTGGTTTTCCCTGTATACCAAAGTTTAAAGATAACCCAACTATGATGTTCTAATAGAAAATTGAATGGGCTAGCCCGGTCCAACATCCAATGCGTAAAGGTACGACGCACGTTAGCACCGAAATCGCCGCACGGTGTGTAAGCACACGCAGACTTTTATCTTGAATATTTGTGAAATTAA